TAGCACACTGGGCACATGATAAGCTAGGCCATATAATTTATAACATTACATATTTATTTGGTCTTTGTTCCTGTGTGCGAAGCACACAATGGGAGTCTTTGCAGTTAGTGTGTCTGTATGTGTGTTTGTGTGGGGATGTGTATGTGTGTGTGTCTGTCTGTTCTACTGATATCTCAAGAATGATACATTGGTTTTCGATGAAACTTTATGCATAGATGCTCTGGGCCAATGCTTAGATTTGATCAGGTTTTGGTAAAAACATATGCATATTAATTACCTAATTTCCATGATAATTAGCTAATTTGTAGCTGTTCCATGACTGTTCAAGTGATATCTAAAGAGCCACTCATTAGGTTTAGATGAAACTTGGTACATAGATGCTTGTAACTACTGCGCGGATTTGATTAGTTTGGGGTAAAAATATGTGCATATTAATTACCTAATTTGCATAATGATTAGTCAATTTTTGGCTTACCCAGTAATATCTAAAGTACTAATCATCACATTTCAATGAAACTTGGTACATAGACACTGCACAGACCTGATAGTTTTTAGGTTAATATCAGTAAATAATAATTACTTAATTTGCATAATTAATTAATTTTCAGCTTTTGATATTTCAAATAGTAAACACTACATTTCAATTAAACTTTTAGTTCATATATATTCAGGGATAATGAAGAGACTTGATTCGTTTTGAGGTAATATTTGTGCATCTTAATTATCTAATTTGCATAATTAGTTACATTTAAGCTTTTACAGTGATATCTAAAGTACAAATTATTCTATTTCAATGAAACGTGGTACATAGATGCTCTAGGACAATGTACAAAACTGCTTAGTTTTGGGTTAAAATCTGTTAATATTAATTCCCTAATTAGCATAATAATTCATAATTTTTTTGGTTCTAATCACATTTTTAATGAAACTTGGTACATAGATGGTCTGTTACATTGTGCAGACCTCATTAGTTTTATAACAAAATCTGTTCATACATGTATTAGTTACCTGATTTGCATAATTAGTTTTCAGCTTCTCCATCATCTCAAGTACAAGTAATTTTGAATTAATTTTCAATTTGTCCCCAATATTCTCAGCACATGGGAGTTCTTTGTAAGCTTTCTTTGATTTTTGATTAGTGGTACCAACGAGAATCAGTTAAAGAACTGTTAGCCAAGTACATAAGATGGAGAATGGTTCAGCCATCACAGGATTTCTATGTTATTAATCCAACATCTCTCTGGGACATATGGGACGATATTATGTACTTCAATAAAGGAAAACCAATCAAAAAGATTGTACCATCATCAGGATTCACAGGTTAATTGAGTTTATTATTTATTTAAAAACTTTGTAGGATTACCCTTATTATTATTATATTATTACATGTGTGTCTGCTTTTAGTCATAATTTACACAGATATAGCAGTTTGAATTACCAAGAAAAACAATTAAAAAGAGGGCTCATTAATCGCTGCTTGCACTATATTTAACCTTATAATATTTAAATATTTGTTTTGTTTTTTATACATCTACAGGATTGCTTATGATGCTGGGTTTATGTGACAAAGTTGACGTGTATGGATTTGGAATTAATGATGTATCAAGTTGTCATTATTACGATAAGCCAGGATGCAACAGTGCAAGCAAGCGATGGCATCCACTCCAAGAGAAAGCAATAATGGCTGCAATGCATGATGGACCTATAAGTGACCTAGACAAACACGTTGTTACTGTCAATGGCTTCAAACATATAAACTGTAACGGTACATGATTGGAATCTCTGACTGCAACCAAGGGGGCTAGGTGACATAATACAGAAAGGACACAGAAAAGGTGTCTGGAAAAACAATGGAGGTAGTTTAATAATGACATTACCACTAGTACTATGGTCCAGCTAAATTTGAAAACCAAAGCTAACCCCCCCCCCCCCTCCCTCCCGCTACCCTAAAGACAAGCCATGCACGGCACAGTCCTTATTATCAAATTTAAGATGTATAGTTTTGTTAATAGTAATATACAATTGGAACATAAACATGTCAGAGATATGGATCCAGAAGCTGATGCTTGATTATGATTTACTGAATATATAAAATCAGTCAAAGCATGTCAGAACCGCATTCATTAAAACAATGAAAAAGGAAGTTCATCAGCGACCCATAATGTCTAATGTGTGTACAAAGTTTTAACAAAATCCATCCATAAAAGACCGAGAACCGGTTCTGGAATGTCAGAAATGATTTATTTATGGATGATTTGTTAGCACAAAAATGGACACTATTCGGCCATTTTGAATCTGATACATCTGTATATCTATGGCAAGATGTATAATAATGTCGAATATATTAAATCCCATCTGAAAAACAAAATAACATGCATCAAGGTACTATAATGTCCAATGTATGTTTCAATAAAATCTATCTGTAAACATTCGAGATCCGGTTCCAGAATGCCACAAATGCTTGACTCAGATGATTTTCGCACAAAAATGGCTACCATTCGGCCATCAGATTGTGAAAGAAATTGATGTGCACATTGATGTATTTTCGAACTGTATCCGAACAGGAACTAAAAATTTTAAATTGTTCCATAGTACTGTACAAAATTCCTCCACCCCTCAAAGTACCGGAACACTTGTATATGTTGTATGCTGTAAGTGTTGCTTCAACTTAAGATAGAACAATAGTAAAACTAATTTCATTTCATATTATGTTACAAGGATGAAGAAAATGAAAATAATAATGTGGGTTTACTGAACTCAGTTCAGAGAAAATCGATCTACACAATTAAGCGTTATAGGGCATTTATCCATAATTGTTTCCTATGGCAAGAATATATCTCAACATTTTGGTAGATCACATTTGGTGAAAAAATGATATTTAATGTACTGTGGAATACTTTATTTTCGTTGGAATTAATTTTCGCTGAAAAAGCTTTTTGGGCGTTCTTTATGGAATTTATTTTCACTGATTTTTGATTAATTGAATGTGAAATATAGGAAAAAAAGTATATTCGCTGGATTTTATTTTCACGGAATCATCACTTCAGCGAAAATAGCGAAAATAAATTCTAAGCGAAAATAAAGTATTCTACAGTATTATAATATCCTTATTCATGTTTAAAAAAGTATTAAACAATTGACATTATTTTTAGTGAGATTTTTGATGACAAAATGAGTTTTCACTTATCTATAAAGGCAGCTGCTATTGTCAACTTAGAGATATTATTTGACACTATTTTCTCAACAAGCAACCTCATGGACCCCACTGTTTCAACGGAGCAGAGTCTTGAATTAATGAAAATCATAGGAAAATAAATAATATTTTTGACCTGAGCTGTGGTAATATATTATATTTTTTATTAGACGCATAAAATCCTTAGGAAAGGATAAAAAGGGTCTTACAGAAAGAAATTAAAAAAAAAACTACTGGGGTACAATCTAAAAAAGAAAACAAAAAATAAAAACTTTTCTAAAAAAAAATAAAACAAGTCAAAAACAATAAAGACAATTTGCAGCCAATGGTGAATACAGAATATGGAATGAACACAAAATGTGGCCTAATACACTGATAGTTGTTGCTGTTTTGTTCCATAGCTGTTTTTTAAGAAGACAGCTAAGGCTGGTGCTAGAGTATGGTTTGCCATAATCAAAATGAATTTATTCTGACTATTTTCTTTATCAAATTTGGAATTTTATTTTGTGCAGTCAGGAATAATTTGTCCCTATGGTGACTGTAAGCTGGACATTTCATTACAAAATGTTGCTCATCCTCAACTATATTTTGGCTGCACATATCACATGTTCTTTTATCCAGCGGCACATTATTATGTCTGCCTTTCTCAATTTTAAGGTCATGGTTGCTTGTCCTGAATTTTGCAATTAACCTTCTAAGACCATGGTTCTGCATATTAATTAGGTAATTTTCAATTTTTAAATCTTGTTTGAAAAGTCTGCATGTTCTTAGTTTGTTTTTAGCAAAGGTTTGTTTTCTATTATCATTATGCATGTCTAAGATCCATTGGTTCTCAAATGATTTGTGTATTTTTTTATGAATAAAGTCTAAATTTTTCTTAATTATTTTTCACTTGAGTTTACAATGGTGACAACCTCTATATCTTGCATGAGGGTTTCTACACTTGTAAACCATTTACTTTTTACATTCTTATTTACTAATTAGGCTTCTCTTAGTAATGTGTTATCAGAGTTTGTTACCCGGTTGAAATATTTAAGTTGTTGTTTCTTGATAAAACAGTCAATGACCCATCAAGACACATAGATAAACAAACAAATTCATGATGTGATTGAAGTAATATGTTAACCAGATGTACATCAGTGCTCTATAGCTGTGATCGGCCAAGGACAATCAGTTCCCAGATCACCTGTTTAGATGGAGGTGTAAGTTGGAGGTGACTTGACTCAGCATTGCCATGGTGACAATCTGCACATTTAGAATTGGCATCGTTTGGTGTACTGTCTGTAGTAGGGTTTGTTTGCAACTCTGTTGCTTTGGTTACATATACATTGCGTTCTTGTGCCGGTCGCCTTGATAACTTAATCAGTCAAGTTCATGACTCCATGTGAGTTTGCCCTCTAGTGACAGTTCATGTGGCGTACATGTGTTAATTATTAGCAGAGTAGCACAGTTAAATATTTCCTTTACATTTGATTCTTTTTATACTTGTGTAAAATATACTGTAGCAGGGTGACTTATTGTGCTACAGCACCCTCTAGTGTTGGAACTTGTGTCAGTTATATAGCACCCTCTAGTGTATATACTGCAAAATACTTTTATTTTCGCCTCAAAATAAATTCAGCAAAAATAAAATCCAGCAAATACATTTTTTTTTATTATACATTCAACTTCTCAAAAATAAATGAATAAGTGAGAATAAATTAATTCCAGCTAAAATTAAGTATATTACAGTAGCACATTTTAGTGTTAACAGATTTGTGTATGAAAACTAAAGCAGTGTAATGTGCAAGCCCTGTACGAGGGCTAGTACCCTGTAGAGGTGAAGCATGAGGTGTAATTGAACTGAACTTGTAGTCAATATTAAATCATTTGATTGATACATGCTGCTTGTCTTCACTGTGTTGTATGCCATGCATCGAACTCATCTGCAATGGTAGACCTGTAAGGCCTGGCATTATTAATTGAGCTACTCCTGTTTACAGTCCCTAGTAAGTACTGAGAGAGGTACTGAAAGCATACACATTTTTTTTACAAATAATTAATATTTGAAACCATCAATGTATTTATAGTTATACATACTGGTATTATTTTAATTAAATTGTGAGTCGGTTTTATCAGCAGTTTTAATGCATCTTAACAGTAAATCAATAAGCAGTAGCTGCATCTCATTACCACTGTAAGGTTGGAAGAAATAGAAATGGTAAAATCTTCAAATCCAATTCAAAATGCATGAAATTATCTAGCGAGAACATTCAGATCATATTTCAAATAATAGACACTATAAAATGAGTTATTTTTTTTATTTCTAAATGTGACTAGTTGAAGTCACAATTTGAAATTGCATGTAAGAACGAATCAAGCTGCCCAGCAGGTGTAATACGCTTTGTGTTATTGTTACTATGTGATATATATGTGTATTAATAACACCTGCAATATATTATGAGGCTATTACAAAACTACTGTAAATTATATACTTGTACTAAGGCAATACAATGATTGTATAGACTAGCTAGTGTGTAGTGACTATATTTGCTTGCTAGCCTCAAGTTTCACTGAATTCGACTTGGTTGCCAGTCTTGAGGCAATCTACTCCCTTGCTAGAGTTGTGGAAATTTACTCCCCTGCTGGCCCCATGCAATACATTCTACTTGGTCAGGCTTGTGGAAATCTAATCACTTGCCGGCCTCCTTCATTCCACTCACTTGCCTGGCTCACAGCAATCTACTAACTCACTGGGCTTAGGGAAAGCTTTTCACTTGCCATTCACTCTGCAATCTAATCACTTGCTGGCCTCCTTCATTCTCAGTAGTTGTTTGCCAGGCTTGTGGCATTTTACTTCCCAGATGGGAGAATGGTGCTCATTCATATATTCAATTCTACAATCTTACATAACCAACGATACAAGTAGCCATAATCTCTACTTTCAAATAATGTCATTTTTATTTTGCTACCACGAGAACTAACAGAGAAAATGCACTTTTTATAATGTAAACAAAAACACCACATTGTTTACATTATTATGATCACTATTTGTTTATGTGCTGGGTTGCCTACTGGCTGATAACAGTATATGAAAGTCAATAAGGTGCAGACAAATTATGTACATAGCATAACAGATGTTTTATCAAAATGTGTAGTTACATACCTTGCATAAGCTCTTTAGCTTGATCTTCTATCTGCATACAAAGCTCTCTGGTTGGTGCCAATATCAGTGCTAATGGCACATGACAAGCTGGATTGCTGGTCATGTGATTTTGTATATGGATAATGATAGGCAACAGAAATGCCAATGCTGTAAAGAATTCATATTACGGTAGTTATTGTGAAAATAGATTCATGAAAGAAACAATGTGCAATCTGACATACACTGGTGAAACTAATAATGAATGCTATATCTGCATTATTAGATGCATGTTCTCAATAGAAACTAAATCAGTAGTTTATATTGTGAAATGTTAATTATTGACTGTCAGTTCATTCAGGCAAGCTATTGCCTATCTTTAGTTTGTCTGTTGCCTTGAAATAATCAGAACCAAAACGACCTGATTCTGAGATACGTAGAAAAAAACATTTAGTTTCACGGAAAACTTATAGGCTGTAAGCATTCTACCAGTGTTCTACACAATACATTAATTTGAATATTATTTGCATATTATAATGTTATTGTTTATTTACAAGAATGTTTCGTGTCGCAAACTGTATACCAACTTATTTTTTTCATTCAAAACATGTACTGCATTTGTGTATTTCAAGAATCTATTTCTTTTGAAACAAAAAAAAGAATGTCGTATTTTAATAAAAGCTTCTTCTATATATATTTGTTATAATACACATAAGTATATATTCTATGCTTGGTACTAAGTCAGTGATTTTATGTTCTCAAGATAATCCTCTATAATAAATGCACATGCATAGAAACCAATACAATTGCTTCATATTATAGATCACCATACGTGTACACTATTGCAGTATTCAGAGCCAAGAATAATCTTCTTGTCTGAAACATATCCAGGAGGGCAGGCTCAACAAAACAGCCATGGTAAATTGCCTCCACCAAAATTGGATTTCTTGAAACATTAAGAGCATCGAGCGCTTCGTCGAAAAACATTTGCAAATCACAGTAATTATATTCCCAAATGTTCTAATACTCAAATCTGTATAAAGTAAAATACTTCATTTTAGCTGGAATCAATTTTTGCTGAAAAGACTTTTTGGGTGTTTTGTTTTGTATTGAATTTATTTTCACTGATTTCGGTTGAAAGTTGAATGTAAAATATAGGAAAAAGGGTATGTTCGCTGGATTTTATTTTCACTGAATCATTCCGTCTGCGAAAATTAATTACAAGCGAAAATAAAGTATTTTACAATAATAGCAAAAAATTGTAATTTGTAAGTCACTATGAAATCTAGTGTCCATTCGGTTTCAGTTAAAGTCTGCATTGACACCTGTGATTCTCATTTCTATTTTCTTTCTTTTCAAACCCAAGCTTTGTGTGATAGCCCGGTGTTTGATTGCTTTTGATCATAATACATGGAACCATGTTCAGAGTATATTTTTGCCTAACTTAGTTTGAATATGAAATATATATATATATATGATCACTCAAATATAGACACTGAGGAACCACAGTCTGAAAAAAATTATCAGTTATCATTTCAGAACTTTTTGGACAGAGTCTTTGCTAATTTGCAAAACACACAATACGTGCATTTTGCATAGTTTCAAGAAATCCTGCTCATTTTATTTAAGGAATCAAACCTTTCCCAGTGTCTACTGTGTTCTGCTACTTGTCGATGGTCATGAAATGAATCATGTTGCTTCACATGAGATTTTCATCACATATCACAAGTCGCATAGCCTTACATAATGAATCCTTGTTACATATTAATATTTTGTATGTCCACTGATTGGCTGGCATATGTCATCTGACAAAATGTGTTGGCCAAATATTTATTTACCCATGAAATATTATTTTTAAGCAACAAAGATGATGCAACACACCCTTATATTCTATGTAAATAAATGTTATATTTGACATTGTATATGTGCACATGGAACTTGTATCAAACATGCCATGTGGTTTTGTCATTTTGTGGACTATTCTTTCATTTTGGTTCCTGTAAATTTGTGTAACTATGTAATAACAAAGGTTACTCACTCTTGCCAGAGCTAGTTTGAGCACACACCATGGTATCACGTTGGCATAAGAACACGGGTAAGACTTGCATCTGCACCGCAGTAGGCGACTCGTAGCCCGCAGAATGTAAGTTGGATGACACTGTAAATGAACAATAATAGAACTAGACAATCTCAATCTCAAGATTAGAAACACATCAGCCTTGCCATGATGTTGTTCAGAAAACATTGCCATGTGCAGACTTTTCTTAGTATCGTAAAATCTGTATTAGAAGCCGCACCCATTCTTTTGAACAACTGAGACCCAAAATTCACCATTTCACATATGTGTAGATGCTCTAATAGAAGCCACATCCTATCTGTTATAATGTACCATTGTAATAGAAGTCACAGCTTTTAATACAGATTTTACAGTAATCAAAATATAGCTACATATCTTTTCTTGGAACATCGCTGCTGCATCACATAGCAACTTGTATGCATGACGATGGAATGTGTTGGTTATTTACACAACTTTCAAGTTAAGCACAATCAAATGAATGCATTATGACAACCACTGCTCATGAACACTGTGGTTTACAATTACTGGTTTTATTCGAACATTTATATTTAAGTTTCTTTATTTTTAAGGATAATTTTGAACTAGAGAGATCGCATCAAGCAATCAATCCCTATAGGTTTTCATCAAGTTCTGATTATAATAATAATAATAATAGTTTATTACGCAACTGTAATCTGCTGTGGATACAGTAAAGTAAAAATAGTGTAAAATAAAACAAATAAAAATAACTACAAAAATAGTAAAAAATAGTATAAAATAAAGCAACTAAAAATAACTACAAATTTAAAAGTTCTAATAACTACAAAAAATCAGAAAGTAATAAAAATACAGTAAATAAAGTAAAGGTAAAGGTTCTCCCTACCCAGGGGTTTACACAGGCGGTGATTTGTACATGGTATTTTTAAGATATAGAGACAGAGCAATGTTATTTTCCATAATTTTTAAGAATATTATGTCTTTGTTCTTTTCACTTGAGGTAATTTCGCAGTTTTTCAGGAGGATTTTCAAAATGTGAGCAGCTCAAAAGAAAATGTTTTTCATCCTCAATATCGCCTTGATCACATTTTTTTAATACAGACTCTTTCTGCTGCTGGTAGTTTTGGTTTTCTCCTTCTCCCCAGTTCAATTTCCAAAATGTGATCTATAAGCCTGAATTTTGATAACATTCTATGAAAGCTAAAGTTATTTATTTCATTTAAATAATTTTCAAGTTCATAGTTTATTTTAAATTGTTTATATGTCCTAAGTTTATTCCCTTCATTTTTGTCTCTACTACTAGTGGACAAGTTTAGCTGCTCCTTCCAAGACTGTATTGGTCTCTTAATTTCACTTTCATGATGTTTGATAACTGGCAAATATTATCTACATTGTGCTGTTCTTTTGCTTCCTCCAGTTCCTCGTGACCAATAATATTTTCAATATGTTTTATCCACTTTGATTTAATTGCTTTGTTTTCATTTAATGCACATTTCAGAATATTATTCTCAGCAAACATGCTAAGTCTATACCAATATTTAATTTTTGCTAGAGTTATATTTATTCTAATTGGAAATCTTCCTAACTCTGCTCTTACACCAATAGTTGGTGTCAGTGACACCAAGTATAAAGCGGTAAAACTGACTACTCACTTGCTCTAACATATTGTTGTCATTAGGTATTTTGTCAGCCCAAATAGATGGAACTTGTTGCACAAAGATACATACCGGTAACTTGACAACAGCAGGAAGAAGGAAATTATTCAAGGAAGTACTTGTAGATTACTACAAAATACTCACGCTTTTCAGGAAGCGATAAATGTCTGAATTCTAGAATAGGTCTGGGAACTTCAATTCCACGAATACTGATTCCTAACTGTGAACAAAAAGATAAACGCATTTTATTTTAGTGATGATTTGGAATCTACCGAATACAAAACAAAATCAGGAGAGACAACAGTGACATATTCAAAGGCAGGAACAGTCTGGCACAAAAAATCTCAAAAAAATAAAAACAAATACTAGATCTAAATTTAAACAGCATCACACTTATTTATGGATGTGGTTCACATTTAATTTCTAAATTTTCAAACAACATCAAAACGCAGTTGAAAACCATCCAACGAAACACACAACAGTGAATCTGATGAAATTTGTTTTTAAATGATTTGTGCATTAGTCAATCAGCAACTAGCTTCATGAGAGCAACACAAAAGAACATCCCAATAGCGATTCACAACCTTTCGATGGAATTGAATAATATTCATGGCTAATCCAACATGAGAACGTTATATATCTAACAATGATTCTGTTCAGCTCTGAAATAAATCTTCAGAATCCCTTGACCAAACACCAACCAACACAAAATGACTCAACAACAGGAAACACAAAATACAAGATCATAAATACAAGAACACAGAGCATTCTTCAGTTTTCATTTACCTGTACTTTCAGTTCATCCACCTGTTCATTACTTAGTCTCTTTATTTCATCATGTTCCTTATAACTGTAGATTAAAGTGTGTTCAGTAACAACAGACGACAACGTATCTTGTGCAATCGTAGAGTGTAACGAGAATGATGGTGGATGGGTATCACTATTAGATGTCTGCGTCACATCCTTGCATTTATTATCATTATCTATTGGTAATATTGGCATGCCTACATCAGCCAAGTGTTTTCCCTTGCATTCTAAACTACACACATCTGTGTCAGTTTGATCACAGATGTATTCAGCATACCGTCCACACATAACGCAGACTGGCTCTCCCGGCATCGGCCATCGCTGGTCTTTGCGATAAGAAATGACGTCATCTTTGCTCCCAACATCATCAGAGACAACGTTCGAATTTTCTAACACTTGATCAGTGTCCAATGGATCACGCAATTCTTTCGGCATCAGAGTTTTTATATCTTTCCTCTCGTGTTTATCATCTTTGATTTCAACTTTGGGTAGTGCCGGAGAATCTGTACCTACGTGAGGGCTCATGGATACTGAACTTTTTAACGAAGTTGGTTTCTGTTTTTTCGATTGTTTGTTTTTATGTCCCACTGACCGTGGTACAAACATCTTGATCTTTTACAGTGCAATGAAACTACATGAATGTACCTGTATATACGAATCTATATCCCCATTATTATGGCAAGGTAACAAATCTGTAAAACACAGAAGAGTTGCATTATTAATAATTTGATGAAATCACTATCTACATATTCATGCGATCAGGTCATAGTTCGATCAGTAACAATACAACATCTTTTCACAGAGACAAAAACAAAAGCTTGTTTGAAAAGAGCCAGTCGATAGGCATTTTAAAACGCATACAAACTTCCTGTGTTGTTGGTAACTTCATTCACTGTAGTTTCATTTGCAGCAAATCTGTTCAATAAAGCGCTGCATGGATTATGTGTATGGTTTGCCAAGAAAACAATTAATTTTAAAATGTGACAATTCCTCCTCGATGTTGTCGTCTGCTATCGAGTTGAACATATGCATATATTGTTTACAAATGCACACATGTGCAGTAGAGTGCTTATCACGCTGTTTTGCAAACTGTCTTCAAATGACGTGATTCGGGCAACAGTTTATAAACTGTTGACTGGTTTTCCTCGTTTTGGTATGGCAATGTAGACTAAAGTGACCACGAATTGACCAATCACATCACGTAATCGGTATATAATATGGTACTTGCACATTTTATGCCACGGGCCGGTGCAGTGGCGGGCGGCAATAGCTGCAGTTCGCAAGGGCGGCAAGTACTAGTACTAGTAATTGAAAGAATCCACTATTCTCTTTACACACGTACACATCTTGAAGTCTCTGTGACACGCAAATTTCTCAAATTTGCTTCATCAAGTCCATGAGCGAACACAACAAACGCCAAACAGCCTATATAGGGGCTATGGCCAAACCTGAAACCATGATGATGTGGTTGTGCACCAATTTTAATTATCAATTTGTCGGAAAACGAATCAACTTTCTATGTCAAGTTAGCCCCAAAACTAACATACCCACCTTACACATGTTGGGTTGTACACTATTGACACTTTACCGTCAAATATCTAAACACGGAACAACGTTTTACCTTCATGAGGCATCAGCGCAATTATTGTCCGCAAATCAGCTGTTATTTTTATCAACAGCGCCATCAAATGCAAACCGTCAAATGTAAACAAATGCAACCGTCAATAAACTCGTAGATGGCGCTTTTCACCATCATAAACGAATGTCGTGCGATCAATTTGTTATCGCACATAGCATGGACGTACTTCCATGCACATAGTAACAATGATTTCTCTGAACATTTTGAGCAATTATAAGGGCAATCCTGGTGGTGCAAACTGCTAATCATACCAACGAGTATTCCGGTATCAAAAACAGCTTGAAATACAAGCATGTCATTTTTTGCAAAAGTTTATTTTCAACGAGAGAAATTTATACATTTAGCCGTGCATTGAAACATATTTTAATTGTAGTGAAACTGCTTAAGAATATACTAGTTCCTAGTTTTAGGGGTTGACCATTAGAAACTCCGGGTAAGGGAAAAGATGAGCTAATTATTTTTCTCTTCATTGAGTTTTTAATTAGATTTTGTTTATCAGAGTGACGTTGCTGAATATTTCTTTTGCTGTTCTCTATCAAATTTATTTGTCATTTTATTTGTAGGATCGTTTTTCTTCAACAATTTCTGCTTCCCCCAACTAAAACTACCCCTGAGTTTATAATGGTTTACTCCTTACTAAATGAAGCACAAGACACAAAATAAGCACTAAAGTATAAATTATGTTTAATCCTCCATAAAATACACAAACAAATCCTACTTCAAATCTATCATTTACATCGTGTACTTAAAAATACAGGCTTTATTGAAGAAAAAAAAAATATTTGCATCAAGTTGCTTGTGTTCGACATTGACTCGCCACTTCAAAGTTCACTAACCATAGATGGTTATGATACATACATATATGGGCCAGTGGTTGAATAGAATATTATTACATTGGTAAAGAATATATTCATATCTACAATAATAATACACTTAAATTACACTTCATTTTACAGAGACTTAACATTCAATAATCGCTTACTAAACATACAATCTAGCTTTTATTTAAAAAAAAAACATGCAAAAAACAAATCTATAATTCCAAAAACATTTTTCTTTAGCACAAGGTAAGAAGAGGATAAACAGAAAAACTTTGGCCAAGATCTCAGTCACCTGTTGTATATTCCATATCAATATCTACACACTGGTGGCGCTATCTATAAATCTGTACAAGTATAATACACACACGAGTACAATAAAACATACTGAATTTTGATTTAGTTGATCTTTGCAAATCAAATTACACAATTATTCCAAACAAGTTAAAAAAAATATGTTCATTATCCATCGATAGTGTTTTTCGCCAAAGTCGAGAATACAAAAAAAGTTTGTTTTTTTAACTTCACTTCAAGATGGAAACTATTCTATTACCGTAAAATCTTAGAAAACGTATCACTAATAGAAGTTGCACCCTTTTTATTTTGAATTGAAAACAAAAAATGCACCATTTCACATATGCTCCAATAGAAGCAGCATCTCCTATCTTGCAATGTATCATTTTAATAGAAGCCACGGTTTTTAATACAGATTTGACAGTAGTCCGTGCCGACACATAGGAAACATGAATTCATTTAACTTATTAGGAGATAAATAGAGGTATGCATTGTTTAGCTAGACAGCTAGACAGAAAAAAAAAAGTCTTGAACAAAAAGGATAAACATGTTGGATTTCTTAAAGCATTGCATTGTAATTGTTCTAAGACAAAAATATGTAAAATTATTGCAACCCTGACTTCACCAGCATTATGTACAAATATGATAGTACTGTGGGAATCTGTACAGTTTTACATTAAACTTGACAATTTGAGGTAAATTTGTGCACGAGAAGTGCAACTGTTGCAAAGAAAATATCAAATATGCAAAAGTAACATCAATACCATGTGACCAGTGATGTCATCATGGGGCCATTAATATCCCTGATCAGTTAAATATAAAATGTTTCTACATATTACAAAAGAATTTTCAAGAATACAAGGTATGTACTACCCCCTCTAGTGGTGGAATGCTATCAAAATGAGAATCTGTGCCCACAGCAATGAAGACCATTTTTGCAAGAAGCAAACAAGACTTGATATAAAAACAAGATCCAACATTTTGCCTCTAGAGGGGGTCGTGCATACATCAAAATACTGAATTTTGCAAGTTAGGGAAAATCAAGCTGATCAAATCAAAATTTTTTTAGAGAGAATAAAATTCTGTGATTTCCGGAAATTCTAATTAATCTTTGCTTATGACATATTTAAACAACTTGTAGCAGTGTACAATTGAATTTGAACAAAAATACAAATTATTAAAATATATGGTAAAACAGAATGTAAAAAAATGTGAAAATTATGAAATTTTGTAGGAGTACAAATTTATATGCGGTCCTACTACATGGAATGTCAGTGACACTTGAATGTCATACAATCCTGAAGTTAGACTGTGACCAAGTTGATTCCTACGCATAAATGAAAGCATTCACAATGTGCTCATATAACCTAGTAATCTGAGTCAATATAAGAATATATATTATTTTTTTGAGAAAATGTTTGTCATAAATTCAGCATTAGCAAACATTTTGTCAATTTTGGAACCCAGTTATCATCTGTTGCTATGGTTACGAAAATCAAACATTTGTGCATGGTGACATATTTTACTGTCTTTTCTCAAACCCAATAGAAAATCAGAATTGAAACTCGGCACATGCAGGGATTTGCTACGTGAATGCTTGACACAAACCCAAATCACAACCTCAGTAGTGAATTTAAGGGAACATATACAGGTTTACACCAGTATGATACTGTCGGACACTGGAGTAATGAAAAATAAACAGAACACTGTTGGTGACGCATATTTATGTGATGCTGCAATCAGTTTCTTCTTGCAATGCTAGATTGATGTAAAAAAATAACTGTTCATCACATTTTTTTTGTTGCTGTTCATGTGCCTGAAAACTCCTAATAAATACCATAACAGCAAATAGATATGATTTCAAAAAAGTAAATTATTATATTATCGTCATATGCATATGACGAATGAGGGCGCGTGATTTTGGAACATGCCAATTGGGTCCTGACTAACATGAATGGAACTGGTGTAATCCCTCTGCAAACACAAAGGATTACACATTTTGTGACATGACGTAATTATCTACACCCACAGTGACATAGCAACTGTTTGGATAATATTGATCTTATTAATATTAATTAGAACTAATAATGATGTCACAATACAATTTCTGGATTGTTCAATCTGAACTCTAACATCCATTTAGATTTTAATATAAAACGACCACAGCTTTATGCCCTTCCTTGTATTGTGTTACTTTAAAAGGATTTACACTGCAGTTTAAAAAATATATTACTGTAATTGTACACAATTGTAGACAAGGGAAAATCACAAATACTTAGCACCAAAGCGAATCAAATTGTAATTTACATGTAAAAGCCAAGTGTTCTATGATAGACAAGTCATTGTCAATGACACGTCCCCGTTCCGTTCATATTTGAGTGACATATACATTCAAAGCAGATCATGACCGAAATGCACCTGTATATGTACAACACATTGTACTAAATCTGAACAAAATCTATCCATGCATGACTGAGATCCGGTTCTAGAATTGTGAAAATACGTGATTTTGATGCATTTTCGGCCTTAAAATGGCCATCATTCAGCTATTGTTAAGCGGATCATGAAACAAATGCACATATATATTTGTGGCATGATGTACCATGTGTGTGTGAAGTTTGATCAATCCAGACATGTCTTGGATACGGATCCAGAACTGAATTCTTTAACAAAATGTCCGCCAGTCGGCCATTTCGAACTTGATCCGAAAAAAAAAAGACGTGCATCAAGGTCCTATTATGTTTAATGTATGAACCAAATTTGAACAAAATCTGTCCATGCATAACTGAGATCCGGGTCGGAATGGTGAAAATGTGCGATTTCAATGCATTTTTGGACTTAAAGCGCTCCATTTGGCTATCGTTAATGAGATCATGAAACAAATGCACATACATATTTGTGACATGATGTACCTTGTGTGTGTGAAGTTTGAACTTGATCAATCCAGACATGTCTCGGATACGGATCGAGAACTGAATTCTTTAAAACAAAATAGCCACCAGTCGGCCATTTCGAACTTGATCCGAAAAAAAAAA